CATTTAATAATGTTTATTCAATAAAGTTGCTGCACCGAACCAGCTGCAGATACACCCGTTTCTACACTGATCGTGCTGCTCGTGTTGCGGTAAGTAAATAGCGAGTGAGGCATTTGCGGCAACAACATATCTGCGATGCTGCATTTTTAAACGTTTATGCATTTTTCATTCAGAACAAGATGCAGGAATTTCGTGGTGCGTGCTTGGCACAGGCGGTGTGCAGTTTATTATCGTTAGTAGTTGGAAGCAGAAGTTCTGCACTTGCACCGACTGCCTGTGTAACATTTGATATATCTCAATGAACCTTACTTTTGTTTGATAATCATGTTTATAATAATTATTTTGAATGATCGTTCCATGATAGCGCAATACTCGCATATTTAGTGCACTGCATTTTTTCTTATCTTAGTTTCTTGTGAAATGTAAAACCGATTTTAAATTGAAATCTTACAGATATATCAGTAATCTTGTATTATCCTACCATGATAGAACCTAAGTACAGATAATATTTGTATATATACATATATAATTAATCTGTTTATCAAGAGCAAGAGCAAGAGCTAAGAAGGAGTGTCGAACAATGTTTGACATTTGAAAAATCTTCTTATAAATGCTGACGAACAAAAAACAAAAGTAGTTATTTAAATATAATAATTATAGATGTTCAACTGAATGTCTATGTCGTTGAATACACTTTATAGTTAGCATATACCTAGACATGCCCATACCTTCATCACTGATGCATCAGGTTTAAAAGGAGAAAGATAGGATAGTAGAAGGAATCAGGTTTAAAAAGAGAAGGATAGGATATGTGAAGTAATCAATTTTTAAAGTGGAATGAATAGGTTAAACCAACTGCCTATAGTACTTGATATATCTTAGAGAACCTTATAAAAGTAAGCTGCACTTTTATGAAGTTTATGGAGGGTCATAGCCCCATATAACCAAAACTTTGGTCTAGTGTTTGATATTTAATAGGCTTTACTTGTCAATCTTTTAAAATAAAAATTTGTTAAATTTGCTATTTGCTAATGTCTGGAATTGTATTAGCTCTAGTTGTTGCTAACGGTATTTTTCTCATTTTTAAACGTTCATTGCATTGTTCATCATTTAAATTTTCTTTTTCTTTTGTTATTCATCAATTCACCAATTATATTTTCCCTTATATACTCGTATTCGATATATTTCACAGTGCGAATAGTTTATGTAAATACATCCTTTTTGGTTATATATTTTTATTTGTTTAGATAACAAATTTCGCTCTGGAATCACTTTGGTCCGACTGTGGAAACTCTGCATGGAATAGAGTCCTCCAGAGTTCGAGTTTATATATAGTTTATGACTATGCTCCATAATCTAAAAAAAAATTCTTAAAAACTTTATGAAAATGGGTTTAAAAGTTTGTGAATTTCATATAAATATGTTTCAAAAAATATATATCACTTTTATATATAGATAAATAGATATATATAGATAGAAAAATATATCACTATTATTTGTACATTAATGTAAATTTTATTATTATTATATGAAAGCGTTATAGAGCTTAGTGATCTTAAGCACTACTTATTATGTTTTTCTGTCTTTTTGTGGGTTGTTATATTTCATTCTCAGGTTTTTATCTTCGAATAGTCTTTAACACCATTTGTCCATTCGCTTAGTTACGTCTAACATTTGTCCAACGCCTTACGTATTTTTCATTGCCTAGCTTTGTTAATTTGGATTCTGATAAGTTCTAAAAAACACTATATTCATTAAGACTATGGAGATAAAAAAAAATTTGCTATATATTATATTTAGTTCATACTAAACTAATATAGCAAATATTCCAAGGCGAATACATCGTTTAAGTTTGGAATATCTCTTCACAACTTCTGTCTCACTTATACTGACAGAAAAATACCAGTTCTAAAAAGAATCACGGATTGTTCCTGTCTTATGAGTCAAAATGTCTCAAAAATGATTACTATATTTATTAATTTTTGCTAACGTTCTGAAGATTTGAGGACAGAAGAGCCGCAAAACTCCTTCTTTGTTCCTGTCCAGTATATAGCAAAGTAAGACTGATTATATTAGGTAATTATTAGGTGGAAGATAATTCACTTGTCTCAACTATGACTATTTGTAGCATTGACAAAACGGTTGAATGGGAGCTGATGATTTAATAATTAATCCTAATGAGCTCATTTTGTATCATAATAAACCAAATTAACTTACGTGCGCTGACTCCCAAATAATGGAAGTCGCTGGTCATATGCATTTATCTATGCACTCAAGTGTAGCTGTTTTTTCTTTACAGTAGATAGAAATTATAGAAAGCATAGTGTGTGACTTGAACACACTAAAACCACCTCTTGGAAGTGAGTTTAGAAGATATCAGCCAACAGACTTAAAAGATATCTGCCTGAGATTTCATTCCAATAATCAGGGGATTATGATATAAGAAGCTTAGTATAACATTTAAAAGTGCTGTATATTGTGGCATTTTTGGGTATCTTCTACATTTATCATTATTTATGAAAAATTGGTTTCTACGGTACCACAATGCAGTAATTTAGCTTAGGTGTGCTGACTACCAAATATTGGGAATCGCTGGCCATATGCATTTATCTACGCATTCAGGTATTATATACATCTTAGGGGATCTTCCAAAGTAGTCATTGCTTATAGAGAATTTTTCATACACATTAGAGAATTATTTATATTAAATTTTATAGTTTACGCCTCATTCCTCCCTGCCAAAGCAATCAAGTATATTAAAGTTGTAAATTAATTCTTAATTTCTTAGGTTTTTCTTAATAAAAACTTCAACATTGTAGATTTATTGACAAGATGTGGTTTCATTTTTTGCGACTCCCTCGAAAATTCTTGCATTTAAAAAGATATTATAGATCCAGAAGATCAAGTTCAAG